CCGTAAGCAAAGAAGGAGAGAGAGAGAGACCGAAAGAGATCCCTCTTCAAGGCTGTGCATATATATACCTTTTTCGCCATCCTCCATATCCTGACGTAAACTTTCCGTCGACTGGGCAATCACGACTCGCCATCTCAGATATCAAAGGCGATGACGACCTAGAAAGAGCGCACTGGGGGATAGGGAGAAGGGGGTCGTTCCCCTCTCCCCCCCTCCCCCTCCCCCCTCCCGCCCCCCATTTGCCTGCGGGCCTGAGAAGGGAGAGGTTTCGCTCGAGACGTTATCATGGTCTCCGGGAACATCCTTTGATCTCGATTTTATTTTTTTCTCTCATCTTTTTCTCCAAGATGTTATCACTACTCTGCAAATAGTAAGGTTTTTATTTTTTTATTTTTTCACTTATTTATTTATTTTTGCGTATACATTTTTTTTTTTTGAGATCTGGAAGTGTGAATGTCTATATTTGCGCTAACTTTGATGACTCATCCGGCGCCACCCCGGTTTATAGTTTACTGGATTATAGACGACCGACCTTTTACGGTGGCTTGGCTGCTCTTTCGCTGGTCACTCGCTTTCTTCTCCCCTCTTTCTCTCTCTCTCTCTCTCGCACCCCTCCACCTCCCCTCTCCCTCTCGCAACCCCCCCTCTCTCTCTCTCTCTCTCGCAACCTCCCTCTCTTTCTCTCTCGCAACTCCCCCCTCTCTCTTTCCTATCTCTCACTCTCTATTTTGCTTTCTCTCTCTCTCTCGCACACCCCTCTCTTTCTCTCTCCCCCCCGCCTTCTCTCCCTTATCTCTCTCTCTCTCATTCGCTTTCTTTCTCTCTCTCTCTCTCGCTCTCTCCCTCTTTTTCTCTCTTTCACTATCCCCTCCCTTCTTTTCTCTCTCTTTTTATTACTTGTCTTCTTGCACACCCACTTCACACTCTGCTCTGTTCATACCTTCCCCTCTTCCATCATGCATATGTATAGATATTTAGTTAAAACATCAAAATAGATTCATTATCATATGGTCATAAAAGATAAAAATAGAAAGACAGATCTATAGTCTGATACGAAGAGAATGGTAAATCGATAGATTCCTGTGTGAGATTAACACACACACACACACACACACACACACACACACACACATGTGTATATGTGTATCAGTATATATCAATATATCAATATCAATATATATATGTATATATGAGTGTGTGCGTGCGTGTGTCTGCGTGTGTTATGTGAGTGTGTTTGTGTATGCATACACACACGCATATATATACAGTATATGCATATATATATATATATATATATATATATATATATATATATATATTATTATATATATAATATATATAATTAATATATATAATATATATATAATATATATATATATACATATATATGTATATACATGTGTATATATATCATATATATAAATATATCTATATGGGTTATATACATCTATATATCTATGTACATGTATATACATATGTGTATATATATATATATACAATATATATATATATATATATTATATATATATATATATGCGTGTGTGTGTGTGTGTGTGTGTGTGTGTGTGTGTGTGTGTGTGTGTGTGCGTGTGTGTGTGTTTGTATGTGTATATATTATATATATACATTATATATATGTGTGTGTGTTTGTACATTATATATATGCACACGACACACACACACACACACACACACACACACACACACCCCCTATATATATATATATATATGGGCCACGTCCGCACTAACGAGCGGATACTTTGCCCCAAACTTCTCGCGGAATCTCGGAAGCCGCGACGTCGGGAAATGGCGCTCTCGCTCGCCGCTCGGTCTCAAAGGAAAAGCCTCGTTGACGGTCATTACTGATCGAACGAGTGACTGAACGAGCAAACTAGGGAGTTAGCGAACGACTTTACGAGCGAACTAGCGAACGAGAACGAGCAACGACTGAACTAGCGAACGTCTAAACGAGCTAACAAGTGAACTAGCGAACGAGTAAACGACTGAACTAGTCATTACTGCTCGAACGAGTGACTGGACGAGCAAACTAGGGAATTAGCGAACGACTATACGAGCGACTAGCGAACAAGCAATGACTGAACTAGCGAACGAGTGAACGAGCAACGACTGAACTAGCGAACATCTAAACGAGTTAACAAGTGAACTAGCGAACGAGTGAAGAGCAACGACTGAACTAGCGAACGTCTAAACGAGTGAACAAGTGAACTAGCGAACGAGTGAATGAGCTAACGACTGAACGAGCAACTAGCGAACGAGTGATGATGACCTAGCGAACGCGCACTCGAACGACGAGCTGCGTGAACGATAAACCTGAACTAGCGAGAGCGAACGAGTGAATTACGAACGAGTAAATGACTGAACTAGCGAACATTTAAACGAGCGAACGAGTGAACGAGCGAACCACTGAACCAGCGAACGACCGAGACGAGGCGATTGCGTTCTCAAATCCGAACTCGACGTCAGCTTTCCCTCCTGTCTC